TGTTTAAGAAAAATGACGTAATAAAAAGTAACAATACAATATTTAAAGCTAAAACAAAAAGGAAATAAAAATAAATATGTCTTAAAATGATTTTATACCGAGCTAACTATGGGGAGTTGAGTTATGATGACGTCATAGAATTTTAAATGTCCTCCACTTCCTCCTCCTCCTCCTTTAAAACAAGAGAATAAGTAGTATCGAATTTTTGACCCGAATAAGGGGGAAACAAATTTAATTTCCCGAATGTCAAACAATGGCTAAACACTAAAATGATGTTTTTTTAAAAAGAATTTTCGAGAAAAGATAACCCGACGAATGTATAAATATTTATCGATTTAAAAGGACGTAATAAAAACAATCCGAGTTTTAATATCTGTCATGATGGTAGGAATGAGTCGTACCAACCTTTTGCAACAAAACCGGAAGTAGCGATTGGGTTTAAAAGACGTTAGACAAAAACGCTTGAGACTATAAGGAAAATTATTAAAATACGTAAAACGTTTGAATTCTAAGAAAAAAAAAATTTTTATCGTGAATCTCGTATCCCGTTTCAGGTAAAAAAAAAAAAAACCTGGAATCTGTTTCGTCAAGACACAAGACCGGTCGTGCGTAAAAAGTGAAAATGATAATAATAATAATAATAACCGTTGGATGAAATCTCGCGCGATTAAATAAACGACTATCAAAACTTGATGTTTGCGTAAAACAAGGTAAGAGAGAGAGAGAGAGAGAGAGATAGGTTCAGGGATTTCAATTAATATAAAACAAACGATTCAAATTATTATTATTATTTGAAAATATTTGTTTTAACGAGGATTTAATAATTAAACGGACGGTGAATTTGACGAAAAATTTAGAAAACCTTAAAGGTATGAATGACAATTTATTACGTAACAACTTTTCGTTTTAGGCACATTAGGAATATGCAATAAGTGAGTTAAACTTTTTTGTTTCGTATTTAAAATTTATTTAGTCTGATAAAAGGTGATATAAATGGTCACTAATAATAATAATAATAATAATAGATAAATTGATTGTTTTTTCAATAAAAAAACAGGTAAATAATTTATTTATTTATTTATTTAAACAAAAAAACATAATTATTAAAATTTATTAATTACTAATTAAACGTGCAAATTATTTATTTATTTACCGTGCGTTTCGTTTACGGTTAAATTTATTTGTTTTGTTTTTTTGTTTTTTTTTCCCCGGGGGGTAGGAGGAAAAAGGGATGGGAAAAGGGGGAAGGAAGGGGAGATGATTTTGATATTGTTTACCACCGTATAATAATAATAATAACCGCAATACGTATATCATTAAAGTTATTATTAAATTAAATTAATTTTTGGTTTTCACATGTTATCGCGTACAATTTTTTACTCTTGAATTATTATTATTATTATTAATTTTGTTTTCGTTCAAGTGTTTCCAGCATCCATCGTTCTTCCAGGTTTGTTTTATAAAAAAAAAAAAAAATCTCTGCGGTGTTTCTTGTTTCACGATTCTTATTAAAAATATTTCTATTTATAAATTTTTAATTGGTTGTGGCGTGGCGTGGATCTTAAACCTCTCTCTCAACAACCGACAAATTTTTGTTTCGAATTTTGGATATTTAAAAAAAAATTTTTTTGTTTTCCATTGATTGCTTCTGTTTGATTGTTGTGAGGACATTTCAATAAATATTTAACGCGATGATGTTTGTTACGTGGTTGTTTGTGCCCATATGTGATTAACGGTGGTGGTGGTGGTGATTTAAAAATGACGAACGAATCCGCTGCAGCATGCGGAATAATGGGTTCGACTATTAATTTTTTAAATAATGTTTTACAGCTACTACTTACGTATGTTGCTGTTATTATTATTATTATTATTATCATCATAATCAAGTAAGTTTTTTCATTTTTAATTGAAAAATTAAATTTTTTATTTGCGTTTTCTCTCTCTCTCTCCCTTTTTCTCTCCGGTTAAAAAACTTTTTCCTCTTGCAAAATTTATTTTTAATCTTCCGTGAAGTTTTGTTTTTTTTTTTTTGTGGATTTCTTATGCGTCTACCCTTCAGGAAAATTTTTTAAAACAAAAAATAAAACTTTGAATCCACGTTTCGCGTGGATTCATTAGGAAAAAGGAGGAAAAAAAATTTTTTTTATTACGGGTTTTTTTTTTTTCTTTATCAATTTTACACGTAAAATTAAATTGTTTGTTTAATAAAAAAATTTGTTACAAGTATCAACAACAATCATTGGCGTACATTTTTTATTTTTTTTCTCCCATACGTATTAAATAACCACATTAACAATTCATTATTATTATTATTATCATTATTATTATTTTCGTAATCGTACGATCGATAAACTATTGATAATTACACGTTGAGCATACATGCACATAAATAGATAAATAAATAAAAATAATTTTTTTTATTTTTTTTTGTTATCAAGTACATTATTCGATTATCAAAAAATTATTATTATTATTATTATTATTATTATTATTATTAAATTGATTTAATGTTAATTGACGTCATAAATAAGAAAGGAAAAAAAAACATGGAAGAGTGAGCGAGTGTGAGAGAGAGAGAGAGAGAGAGAGAGAGAGAGAAGATGAGAAGTCTAAAAAAAATTTTTTTTTTTTTTTTTTGTGGGAGTTCAGGTAAAATATAAAAAAGTAATAATAATAATAATCAGGTAATAAAATTATGCTAATCATTTAATTGATTAACTCGTTTTCTGTCTCTTTCCCTCTATCTCCCTCTCTCTCTTCGTTTTAAATGTTACGAATATAAAAAAAAAAAAAAAAAAAATTTAACCTTGTTTTTTAAAAATGTTTACGAAATAATAAAAATCAATCAATAATCAATAAATAACGATTATTGATGATGATAATAATAATAATAATAATAATAATAATTTTTTAACGGCGTCAGTTGGAAAACTCGCGCTATGACGTATACGTTAATTTTTTTAATGTTTTTTTTTATATTGTGAATTAATAAGTTAATAAGTTATTAATCAGTAAAATTTATTGTTATTGCTAGGTTAAAAAATAAATTTTTTGATTTTTAAATATGGCGTCACTTCCGGTACGGTTTTTAAAATAAATAACAGAATTAAAATTATTATTATTATTATTATTTTTATTTTTATTAAATAATATTTTCGAATTTTTATTTGCGGTTGTTTAAATTTTAACAGGAAACAAACGAGGAACAAACGGATTCGTGAGTGTGAAAAAATTTTTATTAAAAAATTTACGCGTATAAATCTACGCACGCGCACGCACACACACGCACAAATTATCAAAACTCATTTTTTGATTTATTTTTATTTTTTTTACGAAATAAATAATCGATCGATCGATTCTCAATCTTAACACGATCGTTATCAATGCGGAAAAAAATAAGTGATAAGAGATTTTTTAAAATTGTTTTTTAAATAATTTTTTTATTTAAATATACACTCGCAAACAAAATTTCTCTCTCTCTCTCACTCACTGCTTTGATAACATTGTTTTTATTATTGAGAGAGAGAGAGAGAGAGTTTAATAAATAAATCATTAAAAACTTTTATTTTTCATTTATAAACTTTTTTTTTTTATTTTTCTCGCTTGTGTGAAAACTTAATAAATTGTTTAATTATTATTAAGATCAATCAATCAATCAATCAATTTTGAAAAGGATTTAAATTATTCTCTCTCTCTCTCTCTCTCTCGTTCTTTTCCTAATTGCCACCGTTAGTGAGACGGACGACACGAAGATCTTGAATTTCTTATCACTAAATTGATAAGTAGTCGAACGATACAAAATTTTTTAAAAAAATTTATTTTATTTTTTTTAGTTTGATTTCAGTGATTTGATGGTCAACTAACAGAATCGAAAAAAAATTATTATTATTATTACTTTTTTTTTACGGACGTATTTGAACTTTTTTTTTTTGTTCTGACGTCATAAATTTGACGTGGAATTAATAATAATAAAATGAACGACGAGTGATGTATAAAACCACGACGGGAAAATACTAAAAACATAAACCGCACGTAGAGTGATCGATCGTACGTATTTTTTTTTTTTTTCATTTTTACCAAAAAAAAAAATTTTTTTTTTTTAACGGTCGCACAACAGCAGAAGATTTTTTTTTTTAAATAAATAAATTTATGCATTTTTAAAAAAAAGAAAAACGTAAAAAAAAAATTAAAAAAAAAAAAAGGGTTTTCGCTGTTGTACGCACCATTTTTCCTTTTTTTTTTTTAACGCGACGTTTATCACAAACAAACAAAAAAATAATAATAATAAACTGACCACGTGATGTATGTCGTTTGTTAGTGAATATGTATATCACAAACCGTTTTTTATCATTTTTACGACAACCGTAACAACAACAACGACAAACACAAAACGTTTTTTTTTTATATTTCACATTAATATGAAACGTAATTTTATTAATGCGTACGAACTAACAAAAGAAACAAAACAAAGAATTTGAACTTTAATATTTTCATATGTATTAATCAGTTTATGTAAATAATAATAATAATAATAATAATAGTAATAATAATTAATAATAGAGGTATTAAAAAAAAAAGAAGATAAATTATTAACAAAAAATTTATTATTGATTTATTGATTTAACGACACAGAAATCTCGATCGATCGGGCCTACCTATTTGACATAAATTTCATTCATTATAATTATCTCTTATTTATTTATCTTTTAAAAATGATATAATAAATAATAATAATAATAATAATAATAATAATAATAATAAACGTCGAACAATAAAAATTTAACGTAATAATAATAATAATAATAATAATGATTGATTGATTGAAACGCGAAGCGTGAACGTTGATTTTCGAAAATTAAAAATGAAAAAAAAAAACCGGGAAAAATTTTTAAATTTTCACTAAGAAGAAAAATAATAATAATAATAATAATCCGTGTTATCAATCACGATCAAATGTTAAAATTTTAAGTTTTTTTTTCCAGAATGATAATAATAATAAAATGTCAAATAAAGAAAACGAGTGGGATTCAAATAGGGGATTAAAGGAAGATGATGAAAACGAGAAGGAAAATATAAATAATAAATCAGGTACGATTTGTTATGTGAAATCGAATTTAAAATCGGACGAAAGTGAAAAAAATAAAACGGAAAAAGGAAGTGACGGTGATGATAATAATAATGACGATGACGTAAACGTTGAAAAAAAACAAAAAATAATAATAATGATAAATGAAAAAAGTGAAAAAATGAATTTACCGGAAAATAATATAAACAATTTAAATGAAAAAAAAACGGATGATGATGGCGGCGATGATTCGTCACGTGATAAAGAAAAGAAAATTATTTGGGAAAATGATGATAAAATAATTGATAATAAAAATGTCGGGGAAAAAGAAACGGATGAAAAAAGTGAAAATATTAAAAATAATGTCAATAAGAAAAATGGTACGATGGAAAAAGGAAAAGAAAAGTTAGCACTCGGTGGTTTCGAGGTAAGGAAGTAAAAAAAAAAAAAATTTTTAACGTATTTCCGGTTTTCGCTACCACTTTCTCTTTCTTTCTCCTCTTCTCTCCTCTTTTCCTCCGTGCACACAACATTTTTTTCCTTTTCCGGTTTTATTTTCCGTTCGTTTTATTTTTTCCAGTTTCCTTTAATTCGTTTTTCACGCGTTTTTTTTTTCCCCGCCATCGATTTTTTTCAAATAATTTCGTGCTTTTTTTTTACAGTTAAAAGAATACGTTATAGAAGACATGAGAAAATTTCACGAACGTTTAGTTCCGGCCAAAAGAAAAAGTACCGTTTCCGGAAAATTAACGTTTTTCAAACATTTTACAAGAAATCAAAAAATCGTTTTATCTTGTTTATGCTTAGTTGAATTTACTAGTTTTTGTTCGATGTCGATAATGGCACCTTTTTTTCCAAAAGAAGTAAGTTTTTCCCGCCATTTTTTTTTAAAATACAAAATGGCGGTTTTAATTATACGTCGAATACAGAACGTGCAAATAATTTTTTTTTCAATCTATCGATTACAGTAATTGAATTTTTTATCAAAAATTTTCCGTATAATTTTATTTTTTTTTTAACGGAAAAAAAAAAAGTGTAAGAAGAAAAAAAAATTTTTTACTTTTATTATTATTATTATTATTATTTTGTAAATTTTAAACGATATTTTATTATTATTATTATTATTAATATTAAACTCGAAAACGTTTTATATTCAATTTCTTTTTTTCCTTTTTTTTTTTTTTAATATATTTAGTTTGTTTAAACATTTTATAATTTGATTTATATAGCGCTATAAAATTTCTTCTTCTTTTTTTTTATAGTCTATAAAAACAACATTTCGGAAAATTTCCCCCCCCCCCAAAAAAAGATTAATTACACGACTTTATAGTTTTTTTTTTCATTTTTCCTCTTCGACAAAAATTGATTTTTTTTTTATTAAATCACCGAGTTAGTTGTGACGTCACTAACGGTGATAACGTATCATTTATTTGATAAAAGATTATATGATTCCATGATAATGATAATAATAATGGTAATGATTTTTTTAGGCATTGGAAAAAGGTATGTCGGAAACGACGGCGGGTTTAGTTTTTAGTTTTTACGCACTTATTATTTTTCTATCGTCTCCATTCCTTGGTAAAATTGTAAGTTTTATTATTATTATCATTATTAATACAATAAACATAAATTTATGTATTTATGTACTAATAATAATAATTATTTATTTATTTTAGCTTCCGCAAGTGGGTGCGAAATTTTTATTTCTTTCCGGTTTGTTTTTGACAAGCAGTTGTAATTTTTTATTTGGGTAAGAATTAATTTTTTTTTTTTTTTTAAATAAATAAAATAAAACAATTTTAAAGTGGTTAAAGAATAAAAAATGACGTGGAAGCAGAAAAAAAAAACTTTTTAAATAATCCAAACATTGTTGAACCGTTCAAAAAAAAACATTTGATAATTTTTTGTTGAGTTTGTTAGGATACATAAATGAAGAATGGGTTTTCACAACTTTATGCTTCATAGTTCAAGGTTTTAAAGCTCTCGGTGCGAGCGCTTATGCCACGGCAACTTATGTTTTCGTGGCAGAAGTTTTCCCGCTAAATATCGGCGCCATATTGGGTGTTATGGAAACTTTCGTGGGTTTGGGTATGAGCACCGGACCTGCCATCGGGGGTTTCTTTTATTGCGTACGTTTAATTTATTTATTTATCATCATCATCATCATCATTACCATCATCATCGTCATCGTCGCCATCGACGTGGCATTAATATCGATAAAGTTTTTATATTAAAAAAAAAAAAAAAAAAAAGAAAAATTTAATTTAACTTTTGAGACTCGTCGAACAACTTTTTTTTTAAAATTAAATTTAAGTTTTTGTTGATGACGTCATTTGAATTTTTTTTTATTGGAATCTCACAAAAACATTTAAATATTTTATTTATTATCATTATTATTATTAATATTAGTTTATAAAATATCTTTTTACAGTTTAATTTTTTTATTATTAAAAATAATAATAATAATAATTATAGGTCGGAGGTTTCGGTCTTCCATTTTATATTTTAGGAGCCATACTTTTGCTTACGTTTCCGTTAGCGTTTTGGTTACTTCCGGTTACACGAGGTGAGATCAATTTATTTATTTATTTATTAAAAATTTTTTTTTTGTTTATAAATAATTGAGGAAGTGGTTGTTGATGAATTTCAACAGGTGGTAACAATGTTAAAAGAAAACACGGATCGTCTTTATTGAGCATATTAAAAGAACCGAGCGTCATAATAATCGGCCTCGTCGTCGTGGCAAATTCAAATATTTGGTCGTTTTTAGATCCGACGTTGGAACCGCATTTAAGAGAAGTAAGTTATTTGTGGCGAGGGGAAGAAGGGAGGGGAAGGGAGAAGAAAGTTCGAGAAAAAAAAAATAAATTTTTTTCTGTTCAAGTTTGATCTAACGCCGGAAAAAATCGGATTTATATTTTTATTGTTTTCTGCTCTTTACGGCCTTTCTAGTCCTTTATGGGGAATAGTTTCCGACAAAACCGGAAATCATTGGTTTATGATGTCTAGCGGTTTGCTGTCGGCAACAATCGGTTTGTTACTACTCGGCCCTGCACCTTTTATTACATTTTTAGAAAGGTTTGTATTTTCCACATCATCCTTTTGCTTTTTTTTCAAACCTTTCGATAAATCTTTCATTTTTTTTTAAAAGTAAACTTTGGTTAAAATTGGTTGCATTGTCGATACTCGGAGTATCCGTCGCTCTTTCACTATTACCAACTTTTCAAAGTTTGGTCACTTGCATAGTGTAAGTTTTTAACCTATTTTTCATAATGTTTCATCATTAATATATATATATATATATATAAATTATTTATAAATTTAAGCGAGAGAGGAAACGGTCGTAGCGATTTAACCACATTCAGTATTGTTTCCGGACTTTGGTCCAGTTTATACGCTCTCGGGTAAGCAATCATTCAACTCAAAAATAAAAAATCCATGTTGATGATGATAATAATAATAATGATGATGATAAAATAAAATAAAAAAATTTACAGAGAAGTCATTGGTCCGTTGGCTGGAGGACTCATGGCACAACATTACGGTTTTGCTTTCTGTTGTACCGTAATGGCCGGCGTGACGTTTACCCTATCAGTAGGAACTTGTTTATTTTTTTCGAGCAAAGACTGTATAAAGAATAGGCGTGGTAAGAATTTCAGGTACTCGTATTATCAAAATTGTGATAGTGATAATAGTGAAATGAGTTCAGATGAATCGAGTACCATACCTATATTAAAATATAATTATCGCAATTAATTAATTAATTAATCTGATAAACCTCGAAAGGAAAGGTAGTAGTAAGAGGAGGAGGAGAAGGCGGAGGAGAAGGAGGAGGAGAAGGAGAAAGAGAAGGAGGAGGAGGAGGAGGAGGAGAAGGAAAAGGAGGGGGAAAAGAAAGTTGAAAATTGTTGTTTTTTCATTATAATCAATCAACATAAAATTAATATTAAAAAAAAAAGAAAGAAATCTCGAAAATATTCTTCTTCTTTATTGTTATTGTTGTTGTGATAACAAATGATAATTAGGTACAAAACAATACACTTAATCAAAATAATTTAATTAAAAAAAAAGAGAGAGAGAGAGAAAAAAACAATAAACAACGAGGATATTCAATTATTTTATTTTACTACAGGAATAATAAATAAAAAATAAAAATAAATAAAAAAAAAAAAAAGAAGTTTAATCTCTTAAAAAGAAAGCAGCTCCAGTTTTATACCATTCGTTCTTATCACCTAAACAAGGCACCGATAACGTGAGTAATAAATTTTCTCTTTTTGAATTTTGATAAACTGGAAAAATCATTTCTTCTTTGTTACGCTGCGATTCAATCGAATCCTATTATTATTGGAAGAGAGAGAGAGAGAGAAAAAAAATTAAATTTGTATCGAGTAAAGAAAGAGAGAGATAGATAGAGATAGAAAACTTTTTTTTTTACTTTATCAACGTATGATATCAAAACGGTTGGAGCAGTGATAAATATCGATGATTCGATAGTCGTGTGTACAAATACTCGGCCGTCAAATCCAGCACCTTCCAACTGGAGATTTTTTATCTTAACGTAAACGTTTGAATTTTTATTTTGTTTTTCCAACCATTTACAATTCAATTCCATTTTATCCAGCGGTATTTTACTTTTTCTATAACGAAAATTAAAGGATTAATCGTTTGAGTGATTATTTAGGTATAGTTCAGGTATAGTTTTTATACTTACCTTGCGGATAATTGTTTGAATGCTTTTAAAAAACGATTCGGATGGAAAAAAGTAGCCAAATCGATATCATCTTGATGTAGGAGAACATCTGATGATTTTATATCAGTTAATTTTTGTAAAGTAACCGTTTTATCTATAATCCCTGTCAGATATTTAAAAGGATTATCCGATCCTTCACAATGGGTTAACCATTTTAACGGAGTTTGATGATTTATTAAGGATTTTCCAACTGATAACGTTTCGGAATCTATATAAAAAAAAAAATTTTACTTTATTATTATTATTATGTTTTCGTCGCGTGATTTTTAATTTCCTCTCCCTCCCCTCTACCTCCTCATTTATGTTTTTTTTAATGGTTTTTTTTTTTTTTTTTTAACGTACCCGGCAAAGCAACATTTCTAATGACTTTATTTATTCCAGCTAAAGATTGATGGACGATTTGGACGACTCGCAATCCGTATTGAAAATCTTTACGTATGAATTCCAGGACGGGGTCTTCAAATATTTTGTCCAGAGTTGTATTATCGGACAATTTGATCTCTAAAAGGCCGACGTTTTGGTTTAACTTCTTCCACAAACTTAATATCGGAGACAAATTTTGTTGCCAATTATTTATATTAATATGATTCAATGATTTCGACGTTTGTTCCAAAACTGGAAAAAAAAAAAAAAACGAAAAAAACTAAAAATTGTCAAAAATTAAAAAAAAAATTTAATTAAAAAGTTTTTTTTTTTCTTTTCTTTTCTTTTCTTCTTCTTCTTCTTCTCTTTTTTTCTTTTCTTTTTTTATTTTGTGACGTACTTTTTATCTGTTCTATAGTTCTTTTGCTTCGTATTTTCTGCCATGATCTTTCTATATTTTCCGGTAATCCGAATAAAATCGGTTTGTCGAAATCGTTTAACTGATGTATGAGTTGCAAATATTCCGAATAACTTTCCGATGATGGCAACGATAAATTCGGACCGAAATTATTTCCCTTCGTTAATATGGATTCGTTAAAAAATTCTTCGAGATAAGATTTTAATATTTTTATATCGAATTCGTTATCCATTCTACCACCGTAAATTGCATTTAATAATAAACCACGAATGAATGTCCAGTTGATTGAATACGACGCTGGAAAAACATAAACAACAACAACATTATTTATCTCATTCCAGTAAAAAAAAAAAAATTATTTAGTTTTTTTCTCCACCTTCGGCAAATATTCTAGTGATTAAATCTGTTGTCGCGCGTAAATCGGAATCGGAAAATTCGTAAAATAAAGACCATCCTTGTGGTATGTATATCCTTCTCTCTTGGACGACAGCATGAAACCAAGCAGCAGCAAACATTGTTCTCCCGAACGTGACACCTTTTCTCCTAAAAGTATCCGACGACCACGAACCAAACGTTCTTTGTAAATTTTTTTTTATTCCTGGAGGAGCCTGGAAATTTATCATTTTTTTTTAAATCCATGCGAGCCTTTTTCATTACTGCAAAACAACAATAATAATAATAATGATAACCTCGTAGGTAACTTTTAAACAAGAACTCGATAATGCTCTACTGAATTCGTTGTGAGGTTCCGTCGTCAACCATAAACGAAATGAATTATGCGGATTTAAGGATTTGATTATTTTTTCCAGGTCGCCCAACCAGGTCGTCATCAAATGTAAATTTTTCAAACATAGCCACTCGCCATTTTCGCTGCATTCTTTCAACAATTCCATCGCTGATTCTATTTGTCCCTCACCCATGGCAACCTAAACATTCATTTTTGGAGAAAAAATTTTTTGTATTTTTAAAAAGGATGAGAAATGAATGAAAACACTCACGTACCTCACGCATGTTAATATTTGGTAACGTTTTTACCAAAGTTCGTAATTCTTCCGAAGGATCGGCACCGGGACTTAAAAGTAACAAAATTGGTTCCGTATTAACGGATTCTTCGGCAACTTTTGCTAAACTTATCGATGACGGCGTTAACGTTTTCATATCTTAAGTATAATAATTATTATTAACACATTTTCATCGAATCAATAAAAGAAATTTTTTTTTTTTTGAATTACCCAAAGAATTTAAAACGAATTGCGTCATGGCTGAATACAATCGATCCGGTCTGAAACATTGAATCGTTAATAAAATTTGAAATGGCGTCAATTTCGACGAGAAATTTTTAGGTATTTCTTTTTCGCATTCTTGACATTTCGTATAATTCAACCAATTGTCGATTTCGGACATTTTAAAATTCGAATATAAATTCGGTAATTCGTTTTTAATAACGTTTATATCAAAATATCGATCTTGGTCGATCCAATATGGCAGCGATTCTTTTAATTTACCATCCGTTTGTGATTCTACAATCGTTTCTCCTTTGAATACCGACCATTCCTAAACAAAAAAAAAAAAAAAATTTGTTTGAGATTTTTTAAATTATCATTTCAGGAATTTATAAAATAGGTACGTGGCACTCACTTCCGGTACAACTTTATCCTGATACATGTTGTAAAACAATCGGAGAGCAAATGCGAGTCTATCGGAATTAAACAAAGATCTGCTCACGTATTGATAAACAACTTTTATCAAATTTGTGTTTTGATGAATGACGTCATTCACATCCCGTCCGGAATTTAACAATTGAGTTTTTAAACTTTTTTTAAATAGGTTTTTAAATGAGGATACGGAAAATTGATATAAATTATTTAAAGCCGAAAGTGATTTTATTGTGAAAAATAATTTCGAACCGAAATCAGCAGTCGATTGATAAATTTGAAATTCTTTATCGAGTTGAATTTCTAATTTTTTAGATTCTAATAATGATTTAGAAATTTCTTCGCTGCTTGTTTTAGTTTCATTTAACGAATTAACGAGTTCTTTATTAGCCAATATGTCGCCTTGAGCGGATGCCAATTGTTCTAAAAGATTTTCTTGAAAGTTGTAAAGTTTTAATTTCATTTCTTCTTCTTTCTTTAACAATTCCCTCCTTCTCATTCCTAATTCGGGACGTTCAAGTTCAACTGCTAATCCTAATAACTAAAATAAGTTTTTGTCTCATTAAATTCTCCTTTTTTTTTTTTTTTGTCTTCAGCTCGTTAAAAAAAAAAGAAAAGTTTGAGTACTTGTCCTGCTAATCCTTGTTCGGTAACTGTAAAACTAATTGTTGTGGCATCCGTGTGTGTTTGAATTTCTGTATTTCTCGTCACTAAAAATAATTTAAAAGATTTATTGTAATCCACTGGTTTTTCACCGACGTAAATTATTTGTCTCGGCCCTTGATAAATAATGTCTTTCCTTAGAAGTGGTATTAGAACGGCATGAACGTCTTCGACTTCTTCAATTATCAATGTTTTTCCAAACCTTTATATTTAAATTATTTAATCGGTTAAAAAAATTTTTTTTTGCTGCTGCTGCTAAAAACTTTCTAATTCTAACCTGACTGCTAATTCCACGGTCGTTTGTAATTTCGTGTGACGTTGTGAAATTATTTCTAAATTATTTGACGAAAAATGATTTTTTAACCAATTTAATGCCACTCCGCTTGGATCTATCAGTAGAGGATGAAACCAGGATTCTAACATGATGACGGCATTTTCAAAGGATAATTGATCGGAAGACAAACCTTCCGATATCCATTTAAGTTTATCTTGTTCCGATGCAAGAAAATCCATGAGTGAAAATTTTATTCCTCCCGCCATTTTTTCCCATTCTTCTAATTTTTCTCTGAAATTCCAAACGCATAATTATTTTTTCAAAAGTAAAGAAAAAAAGGAAAGAGAAAACAAAGATTACAACGTACTTTCTTTCATTTTCAGATGTCGTTGATAAATACGTCAAAAAAGCAGATCCTAGCAACGTGTTCCAGGGAAGTTGAGTCATGGCTTCGGTTAAATCGTTCAACTGAAAAAACAATAAAAAAATTTTAGAGATCGTCGTCTATTTGCGGCCATATTGACACCGTTTTCATACTTGAGATGTCCATCTTTCGTATTCGTCTTCCAATTTAGAAAGAAGTTCTTGAGCTGACGTCATTGTTTCTTCTGCTTTTGATAAATGTATTTCGATGACGGCTGCTTCTCTCGTGTAAGTATTTAATCTATTTTTAAGATCGTTTACTTTTTCATCTACTTCTCCCAATCCCGTACTTATATTTCCGACTTGATTTTCTATGTCCGATAAATTTCTGAAAATTTCAATTTGATTATTTTTATGTAGTTTTCGATCGTGGTAATAGATCGAGAGGTCGTGGTAAGGGTTCATTTGAAGGGTGTCACGTTACGACCAAAACATTTTTTCGGTACGTAGATTAATAACTTACAACTGTAACGATTTTTGTTCTTTTTCCAACGGTCGAATTTTTTCAAGAACCATCGCGTATTTAATATTAGCAATTACCCAAGCGGCAAGTGGAGCTGCTGCCACGGAAGCTCTTTTAGCCACTTTAGGTTCGAACGAATCGCTTCTTTCCGATAATAAAAGATTTACGGCTTCTTTACTATCCGATGATATATGATGTGCGTCAAAGGTTCTGTGTAAAAAAAAAAAAAATTTAATAAATTGTTTGTCGGATGATTTTTGTCGAAAGATTAAAAAAAAAAAAAAAAAGACCTAATATCTTCTTTAACTCCTCTTTTAGCAAGGAAATTTTTCATGTTGTTCCAAGAAGTATCTTGTATGCCCATAAGGCGAAGAACTCCTTCCAAAATATCACGTATGGCGTCAGGTGGTGCCCTCAATGATCTTATTTCGGATAATGATTCATTTTTTATATTTCCAACGGCTTGTCTCGCTTCTTCAATCAAAGGTTTTACTTCCGATAATTCTTGATCGATTGCTTTTTTTCTTTAAAAAAAAAAATTTATTTTTAAAATCAATCCAAAAAAATAATTAATGATGTTAACTTTTTACGAAAAAAAAAAGGAAACCTTTCGGTAAGTTGTTTGCTTTCCATAACCGCTTGTTCTCTTAATTTTTCCATTTTTTCTTTATGGGTATTTGCATTTCTCATTGTTTCCCCAATTAAATTTAAAGCCGATGATGCTTCCAATTGTTTTTCTGCTAATTTTTCTTTTTGAGTCGCTGCTTCTTTTTTCAACTTATCGACTACGTTTTTAGTTTGATTTAATTTCGTTACTCCAGCCTACAACCAACAAAATGTAATCGATCGAATCGAAATTAGGTATCGAATTAAAAAAAACAAAAATTTTTTTCTAAACCTTTAATCCTTCCACTCTATCATTTATTGATTTTTTTTTCGTTTCATATATTTTTAAATATGTTTTAACAAAAGCTAAAAATCTTCTCGGTGTTGCCGTATCGTTAATAAATTGTTTATGTATTTCATAAATGCATTTACATATGTCGTTGAAAGAATCTATTTCTTCTTTAGCGTCCATTCTGCCAAATAAAAAAATTTTGAATTGAATAAGTTAAGTAAAGTAAAAAAAAAATAAATTTTTATTATTTAATTACTTCGAATATAATATTTTCGGTATGTGTTTCATAGTGGCAGACGACCATTCGGGTAGCCAAATTATTTGACAATTGTAAAATAATCTCAAATTGTTTTCGCTTATAAATTTAAATTTTCTATCCAAATCTAATATGAATGCTATGTGTAAATTTTTTAATATTCCTGTCGAAATGAAAATAAAAAAATTGTATTAAAGCGCGGTTTTAATTACGCTAAAAAAAAAAAAAAGAAAAAAAAAGGGGGGATAAATAAATGTACGAGTCGCAAAAAAAGATGGTGTTGAGCCGGTAAATCCCTCGGCAGCACAAACGTCTCTCAAACTTAAAATGACTGATTCTAATTCGTCAGCGTTATATAATCCTGGAACTTCTCCAGAGCTTAGCAAGCTATTTAATACGTGTAGAAACGAAGTGTCAACTATTTGATAATCTTCAATTAATAAATACACGGTTTCTCCATCCACTCCGGCATATTGTAACGCCTGAAATTACACGTTTTATAATTATTATTATTAATTTTTTTAAAAAATTTTTCAACGATTAATATTATTTATTATTTATTTCCAATGGGAATTCATAATCGCTTACGGATTTTATGTCGGTTTTAAATGTTTTCATGTTGTACGATTGTGACATGTTTAAACTAATGAGTCTGGCCGAATGTAAAGAAGAAATTATTCTCAATGCCGTTTTCCTTCCGACTCCAGATCTTCCAACCAAAATTAAAGAAGTATTAGTAGCAGAAAATAATCTATCGATCGATGACGTCAATCTTAATAATTCATCAATGATAAGAATATCGTTTTCTTGACCTGTTTTTTTTGTCAAATTAATTAAATTTTTTTTTTTTTTTTCAAATTTTTCAACGGTAATTAGCGTGATATTGTAGTTTACCTAAAGACATTCGAATCCCTCTATCTACTGCTTCCGTCCAATCCCTTTTTTCCGTTTTAATCAAATTTTTATGAGTTTCATCAGAAACGTAATATATTTCATCGATTCCAGTAACAACTTCTCCATAATTCCATTCGTTATCCATAACTCTTATCATTATTTCTTTAAACGCGTTCCTATCTTCATCGCTTACGAACCTGTCGGAAAATAATCTGAAACCAACATACGTCACGACCTGAAATAAAAAAAAAACTTTTACTTAGCTTATGTGAGAAATATTTAACAACGATCGTTAAATACAAATAATAATAATAATAATAATTTTGTTTACTTCTAAAAGAGAATTGATTTGATCCGAAAAATTAATTTTATATCTTTGAATTTCTTGACACCATCGCGTAAGATCCTTTGGGCAAAATGTGTAATGACTTTCTTTTATTTTTGTAAAAGTCCATCGTACCTGAAAAAAACAAAAACAATTTCACGCGTGTTTATATTTATCATTTAAAGCCCCCTTGGAAAAATTTAAAATTCGTTAACAACCTTTTCGTAAATTGAAATTAAAGTGGCAGCCAATGATATGACTTTACTTTCCGACGACCACGCTTTGTATTTTTCAAAATTTTTTAAAATAACGGATTTAACGTGAACCGTGTAAATAGATTTTAAATCGTCAATATTTGGCGACCTGAAAAATTTAATTAATCATGTTTAAAGGGGGAATAGGATAATAATAATAATATTTATTTTGATTTGCAAACCCTAAATAATATATTTTCGTTATTGACGTTAAACGATTTGACGGATATTGTGAATTTTCAGCTAATGTTCCTATTATTTGAATTCTTTCGACGCTTGTCCATTCTAAATCATTTTCATAAAATCCTTGATACGCTATTAACTTTAAATAACAAAAAAAAAAGGTGCTTATTACTGTGCCTTTTCGAAATTTTTTATTACTCTTTTAATTTTTTCATACCTGTTGCAACCAAGTAACGAGCATATTCGTACCCCAAATATCTGGTAATGCTAATTCAAGGTTTTTTATGAACAGAACAACTTTTTGCGAGTTTTTCGGTTTTAAAATTCTTCCTGTCGAAGAAGTACTTATTGAACAAACTTGTCTTAATTTTTGTATGACGTGTTGAGGAGAAATTAATTCGCTGCAGTAAATTGTAGCCACTTCTACCGCCGGTACTTTTGATAAGCAATAATTTATCAACAGCCTAAAATATTTATGAAGTTATTAATACGGAAAAAATCGATTTTTTAAAATTTTTATTATTTTTATTTTTTTTCCTTACGTTTTTCCACAGCCTTCTGGACCGCAAATCAATATAGGTTCTAAAGAATTTATCCAAGGTTCCAAAATGAAAGAACTTGTTTTTGCCGAAGGAGTTAATACCCATCCAAATTGATTTGCCGTTTTCGAAATCATTGTTTCAAATGGTAATTCATCGATTCTTTGCCTATCCTTATTATAATAAGAAGTTAATATTTTCGATGGATCTGGAATGAATTCTCCAGTCATTTCGAAAACCTGTAAATTATATTTTAATAATTATTAACCTCCATTTATTTTTCATCGTTTGAATAAAAATAATAATAATAATTACTGCTTGAGCAAAAGATTCTCTCGATTCTTCCGTTAAATTTGCTCCCAATCCGTATATGAGACCAAGTACAAAATGCGATTTGTGATCAATGTTTACCATATGACTCAAACCGCTATTTGCTAAACCTATTATTGAATAAGGTACGGCAAGGTTTCCTTTATTTCGTATCCAATCGATGCTTTTATAAAAATAATTTGATAGAAGGGGTTCGATGAAGTTTCTATAACCTTCTTTCTGAGATGCTAACCAAGAATTTACCAAAATTGAAACGTCAACAATTTGCTCACTAAAAATAAATAAATAAATAAATGATTTATTTAAAATACTTTTTCTCGGTCGAGCATGTGCGTACCTTAAGAATATGATTCCCAATCGAGAAACAGTCGCTGGAGAAGCATAATTTAAATCGGAAGTTTCAAAAAGAAAATTAACATTTGAAACAAATTGTATTCTCCATCCCGAAGGTAGTGTTAACAGCCGGTTATCATCCAAAACGGAATTAAGAGCTTCTACCCAATCGGGATCAATATCACCATCGCAAACAAGCCATGATAAAACATCTAAAAAATTATTATTATTATTTGAAATTATTGAGAAAAAGAAAATTAAAATTTAAAGGCGAACCTGAATTTTCTGAATTTAATTTAAGTGCGTTCATTGTTAGAACTCCATCATTCCATTGTCTTGTATCGACATCAACCTGTCCGAAAAATTGCGTTCTTGGCATTGATTTTGGATTGACGGTATATCGTTTAACCGTGTATCCTAATTTTTGTAGTGCCGATTTCAACAATTTCAAAATTGTTGTTTTTCCGGTTCCGGAAGGTCCTACGAGTGCTACTCCCATTCTCTGTTGCATTTGTTCATATAGTTCGATGCATTTTTTGATCTTTTACAAATAAGAAAAAGATAATTTTTTTTTTTTTTTACTTAATTAGGGGGGGGGGGGAATTTCAATTTTATTTACTTGATTTTCATTATAGTGCAAATTTAAATCTTGACAGGAAGATTTTAATGCGGATGTTAATTTTTCAAATTCTAAATCTATAAATTTAACTCCGACAAAAACATCTTTAACTATTTTATCAAAGAGCCTGGAGTCTTGGAAAGTTAATTTTGATAAAGTATTCAGTCGAACGGCTTCAACAGCTATTTCCGATTCCGTTGATTTTTCAACAAATTTTCTCTTTTTATTTTCATTCAATAAACTTCCGCAACTTCCCAAAACTGTTTTCAATGCTCTCAAACCCCAATCGTAATGTTGTTGCATTGAAAGAAGATTTCTAAAAGGAGTGAAAAGACAATATTTGATTTAGTTTAATAATAATAATAATAATTTTAAAGTGTCCCGTTTGTAAAATCAAATAAATTATTTTTATTTACTTAGCCAAATCAAAAACTTCAACCAATTTTGAACCTATGATTTTAGCTTCTTTGAAACCTTCAATTAACAAACTTGTTTGTGCAATTAATTTGTCGTCAGGTACGGACATAACAACGGGACGAAATAATTGTTTTAAATTATTCGGTAATTTTTTTCTACCACCGTAATTTTTTCCTGCCGGATTTAGAGTAACGAAAAGTCCACAGTTGGAATTAATTGGAACCTTTAACGGAAAATTTTTTTTTTTTTTTTTAAATTTCTTTAAAAAAATTTTTAGAAATATATATGTATAATAAATTTACTTCTTCTTCTAAAATTTGTACTGTATTACGATTTTCTTGTAATGCAATTTGTATTGATTGTATTATCATTGATACAGCGGATAATGTTGCTTCTTCCAGTCTATTAAATTCGTCAAAACAACCCCAGGCTCCACATTTAACCAAACCGATAAAAATTCGTCCCATTGATTTAACATCGATTCCCTATTGTGTGTGTGCGTATAATAAAAATTAACAAAATAATTTTTATTCAATTACGAAAAACAAAAACGAAAAAAAAAAATTTTTTTTTACTTTGTCACAATTGAACACCAAAACTTGTCTTCCTAAAAGCGATCCCAATGCTTTAACGGATTCCGTTTTTCCAGTTCCGGCAGGACCGAAAGGATTTCCTCCCAAACCCATTTTCATTGCTTGAGTAAGAGTAAGAAAACATTTTTCTGTTAATGGAGTTCTAACTAATTTTGGACCATTTCCTTGATATTCGTACGTATATTCTAATTCGGCATCGACCATTTTTAATAAAACATTTTTCCCAGGTGAAGTGTAATAATATCTGAAATCATCATCATCATCATCATCATTTATATTTTTTTTTTCTAATTCTCAAACATTATTTATAAAATTTACCTTATTTGTTTTTGCCAATACCAATCGTTGACATTTGAAACTTGATGTTCTAAAAGATCTTCTAAAATATTTATATGATGTACGGTGTCGGAAAGTAAAGATTTTAATTTTAAATAAAGTAAATCATCGCCATTTTGCCATTCTCCTAAACTTTCAGAATATGAATTTAATTTTCCCTGGAAATATTATTATTATTTTTTAATATGATTATTAAGAAGAGAAAACAAAATAAAATAAATAATTTTTTTTTCGTACTTTAACAGTATTGTAAAATTCTAAGAGTTTTCCTTTCGACATGTTTTCTTCACATTTAGACGTAAACCAAAGGGATTCCCCTAAACTTAAAATCTGTGATGGAAATTTTAACGGATCGACAATGTTATTCTCGGATTCTTCCACGTATTTCATTAATAATAATTTTAACGTTTTTTGTACTTCGTTATTTAACGAATTAAGCCAATCCTGGTATCGTAGAATAAAAAAAAACTTATCGTAAAAATATTTTTCAGGTTCTTATAAATAATAATAATTTTACCTCGATGCATCGAGTGACTTTAACCGGAGAATTTAACAAAACAATTTCTTCTTCCTGAGATTTGATTCCTTTGACAAATCCTTCAACCATAATTACCGTTTTAATACCCGTAAATAATTTTTTTATATGAGTTTGTATAATTTGTTCTTTAGTAGATTGACCGAGAAGTTCTAATAAGTCTTCATCACCGAGAAAATAAAATCTTGGAAAATTCGATCGTTTTTCCTGTTTTAATTAATTCGTTTCGTTTATTTTTTATACGTTGAAAAAATTTATTTTTTTTTTTCCTGTACGTAATAACTATTTTTTACCTGAAGGAATTGATTAAGACAATTTTGACATCTTATCAATTGATCAATGGCCGTACTAAGAGTTTGTTTAAGATTAACTATCCTTAGGAGAGCCGTTACGCGATTATCTTTTGACACTTCATTCATTATATAACGAAAATCTTGATCGATTCTTTCAAAACGATTTTGTTCCATCGTGAAAGTTCCATTTCGGAAAATAGGTTCGAGGTACACCCACCTAATTAATAAATTTTTTAAAAATAAGTATGGATTTTATTTTAATTGTAAAAATGTCTCTATCTCTCCTCTTTCTCTCTCTCTCACTTTCTCTGAACTACGTTTAAGTTGCTGACAAGTTCATCAAGACTCGTCAGTTTATTTTCCCAAATAGACGTGCGATCGTAAAAACTTTTAGCATTTTGGGAATTGATTATCGACTGAAGTAAACATTGATTGTCTCCGATTTTATTTAAAACATCCGGAAAATCTTTTATCAACATGACCGTATTCGATTTTGAATCCGTATGCAAAGTGAGAGTGAATCTCGTTTGAACTTCCCAAGCATCCAATTCTCCCAATGCTTGACGTATGGTTATTTCGCTAGCAGCTTCCGCGTTTAATGCCTGTTTATTTAAATTTCAATTACGTATTTCATAAATTTTTCATACAATTTTAAATCCGTGTAAAAATATATATTATTACCTGAAGGCTTTGACTAGACATAATAATTTTATCTTTAACCGTTAAAAAATCACCGAGGATTAAAGTTTCCGGAGATTTATTTTCCATTTCTAAAATCATAAACAATTCCAGCCAGTGTTTATCACTGAAAACTTCACCTCTTAAATATTTAAATAATGGTATTAACGCCTTTAAAAAAAAAAAAAAATTTTATCGTTATTATCATCATCATCATCAAAGCAGACTTTTATCAATCAATTTTATGATTTTTATTATCATTATACATGTCAGAGAATTTATTTATTACTTTGTAAGAATTAATTTCTTTTAATATTCTTATTATGACGGGATTCGGTGATTTTTCTTCCGTTTTTTTTTCCCAATTCGAAAGAAATTCTTCAAATTTGTAAACTTTTCCTCTGAATAAAATCCATTCTTCCCTCGATAAAACATTTAATTCCGTTGAAAATTCATCAAAAAATGACCACGTGGAAAATTGTTTTTGTAAATCTTTATCCGTGTTATCAAATTCGATTAATTGAGGTTCTGGCATTTCAAATTTTTTACATTCATCGCTAAAAATATTTTTTAAAAAAACCACCGATTAAAATGAATGAATGAAAATTTATTTTAAAAAAAATAAAGCGGAGGATGGGGAAATTTTTTTTTTTTTTTACTCTAATTTTTCTTTTTTTGTTTTCAATTCGTTCCATTCTTCGATTTTTTCTTTAACCAAATTAATATTTTTTTTTAATGTAAGAAAATCAGAATCTTGAACGTCTGCATCTTTCGGTTTTTGAACTTCCCAACGTAAATTAAATTTTTCAACGACGGATAATAAATTTTCCGTTTCTCCTTTTAATGCAATTTTCATTCTTTCGACCTGAAAATCACAAACAATTAATTTTTTTTGTTTAAAAATTTTTTTTTTTAAATTTTATTTTTTTCACTCGCCTGTCTTGCTATCAATGATTTATGATTTTTTAAATTATTTTGAAAATTATCCCATGAAAATATTAATTGATTAACTAAATCAATTTTTTCTTTCGTCCAACTAGCTAAAGTTTTATTTTTTTTTATTGTTGATTCAAATGATTTTTGCATCTGAAAAACGTTTTAAAATAGTAAGTAATAAATTTCATGTGTAACACTTTAACACCAAGTTGAAAATTTAACAAATGAAAAAAAAACCACCTCGACAGATGTTTCCATTAATTTAGCATGTTTTATGTTTGCTTCACCCACTTCAGACATTGTTTTCGGTTGAGCATTTAATATTTCTGTTGCATCTGATATGTATTTATTTAATTTATTTATATCTCTTAATATTGATGTTTGTAGTGACATCGTGAGAGCATCCCAATATTTTCTATTATGAAGTTCAATTTCGGCTCTTATGGGTAAAACGCTAACAGTTATGCAACCAATTTTTTCATCGGAACTGTCATTTAAAAAATTTATTTTTTTATTTTTTCCCCCCGTAATTATTATTATTAATAAATAATAAAACAAAAGAAAAATTTTTTAAATGAAACACCCACTAATGTAATTTAGCAACTTCTTGTCCGATTTTTTTTGATGCCCTGAAATTTAAATCCCAATCTTCTGCTACCTTAAGATTTTCTTCTGCTAATTCTTCCAAATTGACTCCTCCTAATGCCAACCATCCGTTCCATTTATTTTTAAATTTTAATAAACGTTGAAATAAATTTTCCGCTTCTACGAAAACATCTTGAAAACGATAAGCGTTTCTGAAATTATTATTTTGTCATGGATTAAATAAAAATTTAAAGTTTTTATTTTTATTTTTTCATCAACAATAATCAAATCTACCTGGAAACAATTTTTGAAAAAAATTCTTGCGTGTTTTCCGAAATTCCAGTAAATAATTTAGGCACGAATAAAAATTTTTTTACTTGACTATAATATTTCATTCTGATTTCTTCAATGGGTGGGAAAAATTGAAGTTTTTGCTGTCTGAAATTACACGATTTTTAACATAATTTATTGTTTCTCAATTAAACTTAAGGAGTAATAAGGTTGTACCTGTAAATTAATTCGACTTTAATTTCTGGAAAATGTAAATGCAAATTGCACAAACTCAATCGATATTGCCATTCTAAAGCTTTGTACAATTGATAATCCCAATGAAGTTTCCACGATTTCATATTTGGAAATTTTAAAAATTCTATTTGAGTTATTATTTCTCTAATGTCTCTTAAATTTTGTTTCCACGAACTTTGTTGTCGTATCAAATCGAAATTGATAAGGTTGAGTACCTAAAAAATATTTATTTACTCTATGAAAAAAATTTAAAAAAAAAAAAGTTACGTGTAAATAAGTATAAACCTTGTCGGTTATTTTTTGATGATAAAAAGCTAATTTATTATTTTCTTTCGATAAATTTGTAACGACATCTTGTAAATTAGATATATATTTATCAACGGCTGCAGTATCACTCCAGGTAACCGTTTGTTGAGAATTTATTAATGAATCTAATTTTTGGGCTGCCGGTAGTAACATGGGCTTTTGCGATGGAATTATCCTGTCACCAATCGTATTATGAAAATTAGCAATCTGTAAGTTTTTGTTTTTTTTTTTTTAATCAAATAAATTGCGTTTTAAAAATATCGAATTCCAAATATGTAAAACTATTAATATAACCTGTTCTAAATCCTTGGCTTGATTCATAAATTTAATTGCTCGATCGGAAACATCTCTGATAGATTTTGGAATGTTTAAACCCATGGCTGAAAGTTGTTGAACTTCCCTTACAAGTCTTACTAATCTAATCGGGTAATTAACTTCAACCATTTTTTCTGCTTTTAATTGTAAAACTCTACTAGTTTCTGATAGTCTTAAATAAAGTAAAAAAATTATTTTAAATTTTTATGTACATCAAATTTAAAAAAAAATAAATAAAGTTTTTACTAACGATAATCCTTTAACTTTGATGTCATCTCTTACTTCGTATACCCAATTGTCAAATTGTTCTTTTTCATAATTTTTAATTTGTGATAGAAAAGATTCGCATTTACTTCCAAGCGATTCGCTACCTTTTATATCTTTTAATATCTCTTGATTTGTTTCAGCAATTTCTTTCACCTATAAATAATAAATAAAAGTAAATAAAATGATATTTTTATGATTTATGGATATTTAATTAATGTTATGACTTGTACTTTGGACTGTAAAACTCTTGCTCTGTATATTTTTTGAACTGTGGGAGGTAAATCCATTAATGGAAATTCTTCATCTGTGTCTAAAGACAATTCGTTAATGTATTCAATGAGAACTTGTAATAATTTTTGTCTTTCTACTAAAAGATGTTGAGCTATGTTCGGCCTTTTGATGAGTTCTTGATATCTTTTTATTTCTTGAAGTAACTTTTAAAAAAAAATTTTTCTTTAATTTAAAACAAATTTTAAATTAAAAAAAATATACCTTATTTATTTAGTACCTGTAAAGTGTTAACATTAAGATGATTTAACTGACTTTTTAATTTTACTGCCACGCGTTGCTCAATGGCTGTTAGAGATTTTTCATATTGTTTGAGTGCAGCTTTCCAAACACCTTCGGTATACGGACTGCAAATTTTAGGTTTTAAACCTAAAAAATTTTCCTAATTAAAAAAAATTTTAAACAAACGACACAGATTTTTTTTTTAAGGGTGTGTTTAAAACCTTGGAAAAATGAAAAAGATGAATTTGTTTCGAGTTCTCGTTGTTCGCTGGACGACAGCAATCTTGTTAGCTGTCTATGAGCCGAACGAACATTTTTTATTTCTTCCAAACGTTTTAAAAGTTTAACACATAAATCATGCACGTAAGGTTCTTCTGACCAACGTCTTTCACTTGAACTTGACCAATAAACGGTACACAAGGTTCGAAGTGATTCATTCCACTTTGCACAAGCTGTCATACCCTAAATAAATTATTATTATTATTTTCTTTCAATACAATATTAATTTTAATTTTAAAATCAAAGCTTCATCATTCAAGTTACGGTGTTTAAAACATCCATGACAGTATCGTAATCTTCTGTCCATATATCGATATCGTCGATTTTTTTATGAATGTATAAACATATAGAATTTCCAATCATTTCGATTAAATTTTTCATTCGATTTTTATCGTAAAAATTATAATCGATTCGCCAAAGATCATCCAATACGGAAACACTTGATTCGATAACATCTTCTAAATCTACCACTAAAGCGCTATTTAAACTACTAAAATTTTAAATAAAAATTAACTTTTTTAGTCCATGAATAAAATTTTTTTAAATTAAATATATAAGGCATACCTTAAGTCATCTTCTACTGTACGTAATATTTCTTTGACAGATTTAGCGGAATTTTTTTCAACTGAATTTTTACCTGATTCTGATATTGATTCCCAATATCTAATTTCCTCACTTAAATTATTCATTGCTATTGAATAAATATAAAAAATTATTAAATTTTTTTTTGAAGTGTTTTAAGTGTTTATTTATTACTTACTTATTGATTTTGAACTGTTCGATTCATGATGTAATGCATATTTTAACTGTCCATCTAAAATTTTTAAGGTATTTTGTACTTGTGGTTCTTGACCAATATCGTTATTTAATAATGCCGGAATGTAAAAATTATTAAGGGTTTGATGAAATGTTAAAATTGGAGAACCAAAAAGTGTCATTACGAATACAGAAGTTTTCACACTGTTTTCTGTTAAAATTTCTGGTTTTAATTTTAAAAATATTAAATATGTATTTGTTTCATTATCATCAGATTTTGGAAACTGAAAAAAAAATGAAATAAAATTTTTTTGTCCTGTGCTTTACATAAAATGTTAACTTAAGCATTTTTTTAACTAATGTTGAAACATTTATTGTTACAAATAATTTAAATTAAAGTGTGTGTGACAATAGACAAATATTTAACAATTGCATTTTTATCTACCATACATGTAAAAAATTAATTTTGTACTGTAAAACACTTTTAAATAATTTAAAACTTAAGTGCTGTCAAAGTTATACAGTATTTATGTACCTCGTTACTAAAACTGCAAATGTTTTGTGAGAAATGCACTCTTAAAAAATTACAAGATATGTCGTCGATAAATTGATCTAAACTATTTTCTTTATAAAACTGTTCGTATAGTTTTTCTTTTTCTTTTTGAAAAAAACTACATATTAAATTTAATAAATATAATTTTCGCTCGTCGGTAAATTCCATTTTGAATCACAACGGTCACCGTGGCAACAGAGGAGCGCTTTTTCAAGTACCACAACTTAAACATGGCTGTCGAAAATAGCGCAAATTTTCACAGCTTACACTGTGAAGCTTCTCTTTACGAGTTTTATAAAATGATTCGTTTCGTTTCATCGAAAACATCAGTTGTTTTTATTTAATTACTTGTTTTATTGGATAAAAAAACATTGATACGCCTATAATAAATAAATTATAAAATTGGCGTTGCAATGTCGTGACGTCATAAAATCAAGACATAAACATATATAGTAGGGAGCAAGAATTTGTAAGGCCTTTATTTTGATTTCTTTTTTTGTTGTTTTTTTTTTTTTTTGATTTAATTTTAATTTTTTTTTTATTTTTTATTTTTCAATAGAAAATAATGGATACAATACAGAATCCGGTAAGTTAAATAAAAATTTAATAATTTATTTTGTTTTAATAGTTAACATGTTATACCTTGAATAAAAAAAAAAAAAAAAAAAAAAAATTATTGCGATTTAAATAAGAATGACATAATTCAATTAATAAAAAAAAATTAATTATGTTTTTGTTATTTATTTATTTATTTTTTTTTTTAGGCTGTCCCATTTAATTTACCCATTCCTAATGGTATGTGTGTTGGAAAAATGATAACAGTACAAGGGATGGTGCCTTCAATATCTGAAAGGTATATTAAATCCAAATTTAAAATTAATTTTTTAAAAACAACCTTCAAGTGAATTGTAATCAAACTTGGTACATCATAAAATAATTTTTACTTTTACTTATTACAAAAATTTTATTGTTTTAAGTACAGAAATAATTATTTTTAGTCTTATGAATACTTACAGTTGAAGTTCTGCCTCATTTCATGACTTTTGGTAGAAATCGATATTTGTTAATTTAGAAATTATATGTCTATACATGATTAATGTTTTTTTGAACTCGATGAAGCATTTTTAATTTGCTATTCATAGGTTTGCAGTTAATTTATTAAGTCATTCACATGATATTGCACTTCATGTCAGCCCCAGATTTAAAGAAAAGTATATAGCAAGAAATAGCGTTCAGAATATGAATTGGGGACCAGAGGAAAACAATGGAGCACTCACAATGTTTCCAGGGCAAGGTTTTGAAATTATTATTCTATGTGAAGAGTACGATTTCAAAGTAAATATAAATTACTAAAAAGTTTGATTGTAAATATCATTTATTTTAAAATCGTATATTATCATGGACCAATATGTTATGTTTTTTTTTTCCAGATTGCTATTCAAGGACGTCATTTTGCAGAATTCAAACACAGACTTCCTTATAAATGGATAACAAATATTGCAGTCGATGGAGATGTAATTGTACACAATGTTTACTTTAAAGAAACAAATAACAATCAAATGAATAACAATAATCCCAATACTATGCCATATGGATTTCATCAACCTGGTAAAATTAAATTTTTTTTTTAGTGAATATTTTTTATTAGAAACATGACGAGAAAATTTTTAAAATTGTTTAACATATAAAATAAATTTAATATAAATTTTTCTACAGCAGGTATTCCCTCCCAATTGAATTCTGGTGGTATGCACCCTCAGAATCCACAATATAACAATAATCCAGGCTTAGGATTTAATTCTGGTTCGGGACCTCAGTATCCTCAAGGTTCCCTTTATCCTCAGCAGCCGAATTATGGACAGGTATTTATTAAATTTCTTTTCTGTTTTTTTACTTTAATCGAAACATTAAATAAAATAAAAAATGGTACCCATTGTTTATTCAGACACC